GTGGGCCTCTCACTGCTGCGGCCTCTCCCGTCGCGGGGCACAGGCTCCGGACACGCAGGCCCAGCGGCCATGGCTCACGGGCCCAGCCGCTCCGCGGCATGTGGGATCCTCCCGGACCGGGGCACGAACCCGTGTCCCCCGCATCGGCAGGCGGACTCTCAACCACTGCGCCACCAGGGAAGCCCACTGTGAATGACTTTTAAGAAGCACTGCTATAGGTTATATTTGTCATAGAAAACAGCGGTCGCATTAATGTTGGGCCTTCTGCTAAGTACTTTACATACATTATCTCATTCTATCTTTACAACAATCTATTAGATTATTGAATTCACAGGTATTACATTAGAAAACTAAGGGTCAAAAATGCTAACAAATCTGCCCAAGGTCATTAGGGATAGTAAAAGGCAGAGCCAGGGTGAGCCCACAGGTCTGTCTGTCAGGTACTAAAGTCTGAGTTCTTGGGCTAAGTGTTATACTATTTCTCCAGTCTAAAGGAGGAAAGACTGAGAGGATGAAGTAAAACTGAAATGAATCTCTTTGAGACAGAAACACATCAGTCACTTAGCGTGATTCCCAACATAAGTTCATATATAATATGTTTCCTTGCCATAATTAGAGTGCAGTTACAGCACTTGCTGGAGCTTCAGGCTCCAAGCTTTGTTGTGTCAGAAAATACTGCTAGAGAAAGGATTAAGCAACAGAGTAATATGGAACATCAAGTTCATATTCCCTATATCCGTGTATCTTTGTATTCCACGTATCTAAGAACATGTGATTACCATCACTGGTTAAATAACACTTAACCAGTCCCTACATCTAGGAGTCCAACAAAGGACAAAGCACATTTCTGCTAAAACAAGGGTCTCTTCTGGTCATATCTGCTTGTCTAGTGGTCCAGTGCTAAAAACCATACCACTGACTCCTCCCAAGTGTGCTTGAATTCCAAGCACTTTTATATTTAATAACAAAGGAGTCAATGGCCCATTGAATTACACCCTCATTTGACTATGGGACAGAGAAATTTAAAGAATTAAATTTTATTAGAATAAGTTAAAAAAATAAATTTTCCAGTGTACACTGCAAAACAATTCTATATTATGAAAAGCTGGAGAATATGTACCTGAATTCATTTAGGGCATCAACTATTCGATTATATGCCAAACTCCTCTGACTGGCATCAGCTGATCTCCGGCTCATTTTCATAGCCTTGAAAGCAATCAAATAGTTAATTCTTATACTGATCATGGGCAAAATATGGGGGGGAAAAAAGTAAAAGACAAAGTCACATATTTCCACAATATTCTACCCATCATTCTTAACTAGATATACATAAAGAAGGCACACATATTTCTAGTGGGCTTTCTTTTCTTTTCTTTTTCTTTTTTTTTTTTGCACCTTTGGTCATTTAATGAGTATAATAAAATTCAAATTCCTCCAATGGTAAGCCTCTTACTTAACTGTCAAACCACAGAATGTCAACACACAACGAGGATGATGTTGACAGTTTCTGGGTTACATAAAACTTTTTTCTCCCAAACAGATAATAAAATGATAAGTCAGTAACAACAGCTCCTGGGTTTCATTAATATTTCATAAACAATGGTTCTGTTAACTAAATCCTTTTTTAAAATCTAAAATATAAAGATGCTACTGAAAGATGTATCAAGTTATTAGTAATATTGGCTTTCTTAAAAACATATTTAGCCAAAGTTGACAAGTCCTGCTTTAGGTAGACAAAAAGGGGATCAGGATTAGAATATGGATATCAGAAAGAACTTTGAAATTTTTTAAACTTTTTCAAAAAAATGTAATTTTGCATTACTTATGTAATTACACATTATTTTTAAAATGTTTAAACATATATTTAAGAAAATGTTAGACTACTTCAGGCCAGAATCGTTCACGTTCATCCAAAAGCTTCAATAGGGTAAAAGTGACAGTTAACTTTATGTTTTCACTAACTGCTGAGAGACTCCCAATTTATAAAGAAATATTCTTTAGCTAGAATCGAGCAGTATTCTTCCTTAATTTTACCAACAATAAAAAATTTTACATTATAGATCTCAAAAGGTAGCAAAGACTTTGAAATAATTCCCACAGTGCTCAGAAACAGCATCCATAGATTTTCATTAAAAAAATAAGTAAGTGATAGTTTGAAAACTGGCCCTAGAACATAACTTATTTGGATGGTTCAGTGTTTACTACATTCTATGATTAATTACCAACTACAGAATGTTCTAAACTAAGTTCTATTCATCTATATGAAAGTATTCACTCAGCTTTATCTTTCAGCTTTATTAAGAAATAAGATGTTAAACTTGAACAGGTATCTACACAACTCTAAGTACTGCAATGTGCACTTTATGTATAGAATGAACAAAACATTAAAACATTTAAAAAGTAATGTTTAATGAGTTCTATAGTGCCTGAATATTTCAAGTTTTATACAAAGTTTAAACACTTCTCCCAGTAACTGAAATGTCAGTTCAACCACAGCTTAATATTCCATGTACTGACTTTGGCAACAACAGACTACAAAAAGAGACAGCAGCAAACTGTAGAAAATGTCACTAGTGCTGAACTTCTGAAAAAGTAAATGAAAATGGAGTTTACTCATCTGCTCAGTAAAAAGGTACTGCTAATAATCTATTTGTCTTTTAACAGATTTAATGTAAATAACTAATATAGTGTCTTCTCTAGAGGCAGATGATCCTCAGACACTAATGAGTTACTGAAATGCATCCTCTGCTTTCTAGAACATTCTAATTGGTCTTGCATCTCTACTCTCTTTTACTAGTCTCTTTTAAACATACTGCCAAAATAATGTTCCTATAGTACAATTTGAAGACAGCCTAACAAAGTCAAAAATTCTGGCAAGCATTCTAGACTCTCTGTGATCTGGTCACCATTAACTCTGCCAGCCATATCACTCACTACTCCTCTTTGTATCTTTTCCTTTCTGCATATTGTCACACGGATTAAGAACTTTAGTTACAGCCACTGATAGTTCAACTTATAGGAATCTCTTATAAAATATAATCTGGATAATTCACCAAGATGTTAACTGCAGTGTAGCTATAACTGTGAAAAAGCAGAAATGACCTAATAAAAAAGTTATTTAAATGGAGGAAAGCCACTAAAATATATTCAAGAACCATTTAAAATGAGAAATGTGTATGTTAACAATGATGCATTTTTCAAAATGGGCACATAATTAAAACAGCATGGACACAGCACAGTCCCAATCAAGTAAAAGTACAATACACATAGAAAAGGTCTGGGTAAGACTTTCAGCAAAATGTTAATGAGTTATCTTTGGGCGACAAGGATATCAATTTTTCTTATTATTCTACAATATCCATTTTTCAAAACTTTGTTTAAAAAATCCTACACATCCTTTAAGATACAGTTCGAATGAAACATCTTCCCAGTTGGAAGTCATTTTTCTTCCCTATGAACTCCTAAAAAACTTTGATTTTCCTTCTTTTTTAGTTATCTTTATGTTCTATCGTATATTCACAACTTTCTTACTTTACATCAATTTATTACATGCACTATTAGCAGCACTTGACACAACTGATCACTCCTAACTTCTTAAACTACTTTCTTCACCTGGCTCACCCCTAAAAGTACTCTCTCTTGTTTTTCCTCCTACTTGAATGGCCAATCCTCAGTCTCCCCTGCTGGTTCTCAATTCCTCAAATTTTAACTACTGAAACGCTCTACAAATCAGGCCTAGGATCTCCTCTCCTCTCTTCTCTCTCTCAATCAGTTTCTTGGCTTAAAATACCGTATACAGGGCCTCCCTGGTGGCGCAGTGGTTGAGAGTCCGCCTGCCGATGCAGGGGATACGGGTTCGTGCCCCGGTCCAGGAGGATCCCACATGCCGCGGAGCGGCTGGGCCTGTGAGCCATGGGCGCTGAGCTTGCGCATCCGGCAACGGGAAAGGCACGACAGTGAGAGGCCCACATATCTCAAAAAAAAAAAAAAATACCGTATACACACTGGTGACTGTCCAGCCTGGACCTTTCCCCTAAACTCTAGACTCACAACAACTTGGATGTCCAGGAGGCACTGCAAACAAACTGCTGATCTTCCTCCACCAAACCTGTTCCATTTGTAGTTTTCCCATTTTAGTACTGGCAATTCCATCCTTCTTACTGCTCAAAAGAAAAATCCCAAGTCAACCTCTATTATTCTTTCTCTTAACCCCAATTCGGTCCATCAGCTAATCTCCTTAGCTCTATTTTCAAAAATATCCAGAATCCAACCACTTGTCACCAATTCCATCACGAAAGTGCTTTAAGTATCCACCCTCTCACCTGAATTACTTCAACAGCCTTGTAACTGATCCCAAAGCATCCACCTTTGCCCCTGAAATCTATTCTCCATCAGCAGTAAGAGTGATTCTCATGAATAATGTCATTTCCCTGCTCAAAACACTCCAATGGTTTCCCATCTTTCTTAAGAGTAAATGCCAATGCTCATACCATGGTATCCTATAAATTCCTACATGACCTGGTCCTATTTCTAACTTAGCCACTTTGGCATCCTTACTCCTCCCTGCTGATGCTCAAGCATGAGGCTTACTCCTTTGCCCCTCCTGGAGCATTCTTCTCTCAGATGGTTATAGCTGACTTCCTCCATATGTCTGGACCATATGTCATTTTATCAGGAGCTTTCTTGACTATCTTATAAAAATTTGTAATCCTTCCATCCAGCATTCCTTAAAAAGCTTTCTCTGTTTTATTTTTCTCCATAGCACTTATTACCATCTAAAATCTTATATATTCATTTGTTTATTTTCTATGCCATGAGGTCAGGAGTGTTGCTTTTTTTCACATCTTATCCTCAGTTGCTAGAATAGTGCCTGCCACATTCTAGGCCCTCAAATACTTATTGAATGGATAAATGACCTTACATCTTTTTTTTAGGTAGTAGGCTTCTTTAAAGGAGCTGAAGTCTACTTTGCATCTCTCAGATCACTTTGTAGGGTACCTGCACAGATTCTGTTAATTTTTCTGCCAAATGAATAAACACAATGCTTAAGCAAGAGAATAAGATTCAAAGGAAAATAAAATAAAAAATATAAACAAACCATAAACATGACTATGCTTACCTGTTCTATTGCACTCTTTAATTTGTTCATGTGGCTTTCAAACAGAGGAAAATGTGAAAAAAAGAATTCATTAAATTTGTTACTTTCATCTTCATCTTTGGATAATGAAAAGATTACCCCAATTGCAATCTTCTTTTTCCTCACAATCCCTGGGTTAGGGCCACAGCTCTCCTCTGACAGATTAAAGCTTTCTTCTATAGACCTTAAAAATAAATGGTTTTTTATTTTAAAATAATATAAAAATAATTAAATTCACAATTCAATCCCCTTGCTAATTAAATGTAGGCAAGCTAAAGGTCTTCCAGTGTTTTATCCAGTAAATCTAAAAATTCATACCAATTGTGTATCTCTTTGAGAAATCTACTGGCTATTCATTTATACTCATATTTTTGTAAGAAATTTTAATAGAGAGTCAGATAGGAAACATTTTTGTTCAATGAGAAGTCACTAAAAAAGTAGATAATCCCAAAGTATAACCAACCTAAAAGAGCCTGAATTTTAAGGTTTATAGATGAGTCTGATATAATCTCTTCACTGTTCTAGAATCTACTTATCTCTCCTTTAGATTCCAGGCATAAAATCAAAGGTGAAGGAATAAAGGGAGTGAGTAAAAAAGGAAACAAGAAGCTTCATCATCTTTAGCTGTACTTAACACAGACTAAAAAAATAAATCTTTCAAGAATGAATTAACTTGCCAAAATAGAAACATGAAAAACTGAAATATCAAAACATGCAGTAAATGGATCAAAGACCAAAACAAAAGAGTTAAAACTATAAAACCCTTAGAAGAAAACATAGGGTAAAAGCTTCATGACACTGGATATGGCAATGGTTTCTTGGATATGACACCAAAGGTAAAGGCAACAGAAGAAAAAAATACATAAATTGGGCTACATAAAAATGAAAAACTGTTGTGTATCAAAAGAAACTATCAACAGAATAAATGGGCAACTAATCAAATGGGACAAAATATTTGCAAAGCATATATCTGATAAGGGATTCACATCCAGGAATATATAAAGAACTCCTACAATTCAACAACAACCACCAAAAAAACCACCTGATTAAAAAATGGGTAAAACACTTGAATAGACTATCTCCAAAGAAAACATACATATGGCCCATAAGAAAGCAAAAACATGCTCAACATCACTAGCCATCAGGTAAATACAAATTGAAACTACAAGGAGATACCACTTCACACCCATAAGGATGGTTATTATTAAAAAAAAAAAAAAAAAGGAAATTAACTACTGGTGAGGATGTGGAGAAATTAGAACTCTTGTGCAGTTCTAGTCAGGGAAATTTCTTAGCGGTACAGTTGTTAGCACTCCACACTTTCAGTGCAGGGGACACGTGTTCAATCCCTGGTCAGGGAACTAAGATATGCGGCGTGGCCAAAAACAAAAAAACACCCTGGCCATTTCTAGTGGGAATGAAAGTAAAATGGTACAGCCACTGTGGTGAAGAGCATGGCAGTTCCTCAAAAACTTCAACAGAGAATTATGATATGATCCAGAAATTCCACTTCTGGGCATATAACCAAAAGAATTGAAAGTGGAGACTTGAAAGGTATTTGTAGACTCACGTTCATATCAGCATATTCACAACAGCCAAAAGGTGGAAGCAATCCAAATGTCCAAGGACAGATGAGTGGATAAACAAAATGTATATACAATGGAATGTATATGTATATACAATGGAATGTTAGTCATAAAAAAAAAATGAAATTCTGATACATGTTACAATATGGGTGAACCCTGAAGGCATGCTAAAGTGGAATAAGGCAGACATAAAAAGATAAATATTCTATGATTCCACTTATATGAGGTATGTAGAGCAATCAAATTTACAGAGAAAAAAATTGCATAGTAGTTCCCAGGGGCTAAGGGGAGGGAGGAATGAGGAATTATTGCTTAATGTGTATAAAGGTTCAGTTTGTGGAGATAAAGTTCTGGACGTGAATGGCTATGGCTGCACAACAATGTGAAGGTACTTAATGCCACTGAACTATACAGCTAATAATGGTTAAAATAGTAAATTGTATGTTATGCATAACTTACCACAATTTTTAAAAATGTAGTACACTTTAAAAGTTTCCAGTACCAGACTTGAAAAATACAAAATACAAGGTCCAGGCTCTTAACATACACAATTGTGTTAAAGGAACTATTCAATCTTGTGGTAAATTAAAAGTCCTGGGCTTCCCTGGTGGCGCAGTGGTTGAGAGTCCACCTGCCGATGCAGGGGACACGGGTTCGTGCCCCAGTCCAGGAAGATCCCACATACCGCGGAGCGGCTAGGCTCGTGAGCCATGGCCGCTGAGCCTGCGCATCCGGAGCCTGTGCTCCGCAACGGGAGAGGCCACAACAGTGAGAGGCCCAGGTACCGCAAAAAAAAAAAAAAAAAAAAAGTCCCAACTTACCATCTAGGAAACACCCCATTCTCCAAACTTGTTGTTTGGCTACGTCGCCAGCGTCGCTGGTAGCTGCTGGCACAACTTCGGGTAAGTGAGGAGTTTGGAGAGGGAAATGGTGTAATAAGCAAGCTGCTGAGAGATGCTGTCAAGTCAGAGTAAGAACAAGTATAATATATAAGTTAATAATTACTAAAAACAAGAACAGATTTCTTTTTAACAAATTTAAGAGTGGTGACTCAAATTTTCCATTTTGCTGAAATGAGGCTCTAAAATTTCCATTTAAAAAAAATACATCATTGTTGGAGCAAGGTCCCAGAAAAAAATCACATACTAAAAGTGAGCTGGCAAGAGACCCTGATACAATCCCCTTTTGACATCCTTACCTTCCCCAACCCCACCCCAGACGAAAATGCTACTTTGAAATAAAGCTTTATTCCTTTGGCCATGACACTGTCTCCTAGCTTAGCTGAATCCTTAGTCCTTAAATTAAATACGATGCAGTTCAATTCCAATGCAGCAGCTGGATTTTAAGAACAAAAGCTAATTTGAAAATAAGTGTTTGAATGCCATTTAAAACGTTATTTAAAAGTACTCATGAAGGGGGGCTTCCCTGGTGGCACAGTGGTTGAGAGTCTGCCTGCCAATGCAGAGGACACGAGTTCGTGCCCCAGTCCGGGAAGATCCCACATGCCGCAGAGTGGCTGGGCCTGTGAGCCATGGCCGCTGAGCCTGCGCGTCTGGAGCCTGTGCTCTGCCAAGGGAGAGGCCACAACAGTGAGAGGCCCGCGTACCACACACACACACACAAAAGTACTCATGGAGGGACTTCTGGGCAGTCCAGTGGTTAAGACTCCACAATTCCAATGCAGGGGGCACAGGTTCGATCCCTGGTCGGGGAACTAAGATGCCACATGCTGCGTAGCGGCCAAAAAAAAAAAAAAAAAAAAAAGAAGTACTCATGGATCACTTGTGCATAGGTAGGCACCTCTGAATGCCTAGGTACTTTTACCAAGAGTCATGACTATACCTATCAAGCTCCAAGAAAGAGTAAATCATATAGATTGCTCTCTAGAACATTGCTCTCTGGAACACTGCTCTCTGGAACAGACACATCCCAATAGAGTCCACTCTGATTATAAGTGCTGCAATCCCCTAACTACGGAAATTATTCTCTTCTGAAAACCCTTCTCTGCAATCCAAAAGCTCTGTTTCCTGCCTAGGGTATCAAAAGCTAAAATCCTTTTTAAAAGGATTTAAAAAGTCCTTTAGTATCAAAAGCTTAAATTCTTTTATGGGGGGATTCTCTCCTTCTCTCCACTTAATCTAGAGAGAAAAAGACCTCAAGGGCTTGCTTTTGTTTAGAAATATTATAGATTCCCATTTTCATCATTATAAACACATACTGAAAATGTGTAAAATAATCAAAAGGGAAGTATTATTATCATCTATAAAAAGATACATGCCAGATGATATATAATTTTGGACACCGGGACTGAAAAGTAAGAGATTATCATTATGAAAATATGTTCATTTGAATTCTGGCAAATTCAATGGTAAAGGGGAAAGCTCTATGTGCCATGCAAACATCTGGGCCGCCAATGAATTAATTCTGGACTACTTTCTTGAAAATACCACATTTTATCAATTAGTAGTATAAAACTTTGTAGTCTAAGGTTAGGCATGTATAACTAATCTGGGTATGGCTTCTGTGAGAAATCAAATGTTACTCTAAATTTGGAAAAGCTCTGTTTTATCAAATTCTGGTTTTAAAAATAACACAATCAGAAAAAGGAAGAAAATATACAATTAACTTAAACAGCATATATGAATTCAATGGCTTGAAGAAGCTTTACAGATCTGTCTTGCCAGGCCCTTCAATTTACAGATGAAGAAAATGAAGTATAGAGACATTAATTTATCACTTCTGAAATCTTGGATAAATAATGAAAACTAAATTCCTGCCACAGAAAACTAAATCTCTAGATTACATAGATGCAAACTGTATTAAGAGAAATACACTTTAGATTAGTTCCTAAGAACAAAAATAACTCAATTAGAAAAGAAGGGTGAGATTATTTGAAAGATGAGACTTCTCCTATTAGAGTAGTGGTTCTTAACTCTAGCTGTCCATCAGAATCAGTGGTTGAGTTTTTCATTTTTTGTTCCTCAAATACAGATGCCTAAGCCTTTCTCTAGGGTAAATCAAGAATCTTCAAGAGTAGAGTCCAGGTATCTGAAAAATTTTCTTGAAATTTCTCACGCATAAGTAGGGATTACAATATATAGGAAGTTTGGAGTCTTCCATCTAGACTCAAAACTGACTTGTGAACAATTTATATGGCAGAGCCATGCAATGTGACAACACATACAGATAATCACAGTGGATAAAGTTTCTCATACCTAATGATAATTCAAACCTAAGAGTACTCCACCTTTCCCTTATGCTGATCTCTGAGCCCGGACACTTTTCCTTTTAACTGAAATGTCCTTCTTTCATGCCTTTGGCCAGATAACTCCTATTTATTTCAAGTATCAACACTCTGTAAAGCTTTACTCACACCCTGCCCCTTGACCAGGCTAAGTTAGGTGCCTTTTTTCTGAACCTCTGCACAGGTCTATCACAGAACACCTCAAACAATAAACTATGACAGATGATCTTTCTGGCTATTCTCTCATTAGAAGCTGTGCTCGTTAAGGATAGAATCTGGGGGGTTTTTTTGTTTTTTTCTTTTTAATCCTCACAATGTTTCAATAAAACTTTGTCAAATTTTGGAAGAGTACGTATTTCAAAGAAATATGTATAACACTGGCTCAAAATGCCTAAGCTTCTCTGGGCAAGAGACAGTCTGACACTTTAAACCCTAGTTAGGAGAAAACAGATATAAGCAAATGTGTTTTTTCTACTATGCTATCTAAGCAGTCTCTTGAGCAATATTATTTTTCTTATACTGGCTAAGCCTAAGCCAGTGTGTATTCATCCAGGCCATGTTCCACCAGGCACATTTACTATTAAACATGAAAATTTTTTAATCTAAAATATTTATTTTTGCTGTTTCTACCATCCTCTTGTAAGGCTAATATCAATACTAACAAACTGTACACATAAAACTGGATGATAAAAGCAAAGATAAAAAAGGAAATCAATGTCAGCTAACAGTGATCTCATCAAAAATTGGATTAATACATGAACCTGTCATTACCAGAGCGTGCTATGCCACTGTCTCTGTCCTCATTCAGCTCTCTTCCAGGCATGTCCATTGGGTTGCTGTGAACTGCAAATCAAGACAAAACTGTGACTTATAAAATACAGTGCTATTCAGGTTGATGTTGTTCCTTTTATGTAGCAAACTAAATCATGCTCATTTCATTGCATTCCTTTATTTTTTCAACAGCATGGCACAAACCCAACACCAAGAGCTATTACTCAGTTGAACAAGCTTTGAGATCTCTCTAAAGATTTGACATATAATATGAAATAATCTATGGTATAATACCTAAAGAAGCAAGGGATGACTAAAATAAGTATTTTAGAAGCATATTCAATGATATATGAATATATTCACAATATACTGCTAAATGAAAAAAAGGCAATCTACTGACCAGTAAGAATGATGGTTGCTGGGGCTAAGTGACTGGTATATGATGGTTGTCTGCTATTCTGCCTATAAAAATGTATGTTTAAAAATTCTCCATAATAAAAATTTTAAGAAAGCCGAACAGTATAACCCCAATTTTGTTTTAAAACAAACAAAAAAACTAAGAAGGTGATTTCCAGTTGACAAGATGGCTAATATATTTTTTTGCCTATTTTTCATATTTTCCAAATTTTCTATAATATATATACATTGTTTATATCTTACATTTGTAAGAAAAATAAATATTAATTAAAACAAGAAGTTGGATACAACTTCCTGGATACAGAAGCATGAACACACTCTACAATCATCTATTTAATGATGTAAACAAACATAGTCATATATGCCTTTTACAGAATATAATGGTGCTTGTTCATCTAAATTTTAGCTCCAAGAGAAATCATTCTTATGGAATAGTGTAGATCAGAAATTTTACAATAATAGTAAGATAGGATATTTTCTGCGATTGATGAACCATGATACAGAAGCTACTCAGCCATGGAAACAAGATAGTGTCACATTAGAAATTCTACTGGTATTACAAGAAATAACGTTCATACTATATTTTGGTTTAGGATTCTAAAGTTAAAATCATTATTACATAACAAAATAAGAAATGACAAACTGAAATTTCATGAAAATGTCAATTCCACTGATAACTTAGTTTCTGGAAACTTTAAGAACATATTCAGTAGAAAGATATTAAGTTCTTAAACTTCCTAAGCAATGTTTTCTCAACTACACTTTCCCCAACTGCATTTCTCTACTCTCTTGTTTCCACAGCTTAACTATGAATTCTAGACGCTGGGGCACACCAACTAGTCTACCCACACAGCACATGGCAAACCTGCAAAGAAAGAGGCGCTCCTGATCAGGCGGAGCGGACCCTGTTCAGAGAATGCCCGCCTGGGGCTGCAGAACTGTGAAAGACCTACATGGCAGAAACGTAAAATACATATGAAAGAGGGCTGTTAGAGAAGCCACAATGCGTCAGGAATAAAAGGTGAGCTAAGGAAGTACAAAAGCAGACCAACAGATATGGATGGAAACCTTTAAACAAGTAAGAATAATTCAAGCTGGCTTCCTATTTTTGAAACAGGATGGTTTCCTTCTGGTCATGGCTTATGTCAACATAACAATTTACTAATAAGTCCACATATAATAATAAAAATAAAACATAAACAATAAAAATAAGCTTCCACTATACAAGGTAAAATGTTCAATCCTTTCTCATCTAAAACAATGTTTTTAAAGATTCAAAACAACACAGTAATGTTATCTATATAATTTGACATTTGCCAAATACATTTATCTTTTAAAAAGTCAGTTTTAAGATTACAATATTGTGCAACTACAGTTAAGAAGAAAACCACCTAAGCACTTGGCTGAAAAAACAGAACACAAAATAAAACAAAGAGCAAATAAAGAAAAGGGGTCTACTGACAAATAAGTATGAAATTAGTTTTTCTAAACTAGTTGTAAATTATAAAGTAACAGAAGAAACCAAAGTTCCTAGAGCAGGGGTCAGCCACTATGGAAGCAAGAAAGCCAATGCAGCCTGTCAGGGCCAGACTCCCAGCTGCCCAAGATAAGTAGCTGCCACACACTTGACCAAGAGAAGATAAGAGTCTGAAGACCCAGAGAGGGTAACATTCCAGCCTGGAAGCAAGCAGCTGAGTTACTTGTTAGTTATGCTTCATCAAGATGGCCTAAATAGCCATCTAGGAGGTTTATCTAGGATAGAACTGGGGACTTTTCTGTTTTAAAAAGTGACAAATGTATTTTTCAAATTGCTAATAGGTATTTTTCTATAACAAGAGTTTCTATAATTATAGTGCATGTGCAGCAAACCTTCCATTTTCATTGTTCAGTTCCTTCTTAATTTTTTCCTAGTTACCTCAAAACTTACCTGCTCTCTTTAATCTCCTTCCCTACCACCTCCTCTTACTCTCAGCATATGACTTTGTCTCGTACAGTATGCATATGTATATGTTTGTACACATGAAGAATCACCATATGGGAACTCTCCTCCTACCATGCTATCTCCAAACGTAATCTCCAAACTTAATTAACTTTCATCCCTGCCTCCTTCCTGCCTGAGCAGTAATAACAAGTAACATTATTCAAGTCCCCTTTATGTGCAGGGACTATCTGTGAAAAATCCTGAGAGGTACCTCCCTCCCTCCCTTCCAAAGCTAATTCTTCTAAGTCAGCTAGGCCCTTCCACTTTACCAGTATCACCTCTATCTCCAACCTCATCCTCCTTATAACCTCCTTTTCCATCAACATTTAAATACAGTCAGAACTCTTCTACCTTCTCCCCATATATCTAATCCTATAGTTCAGTAGTTCTTAAAATGTGGTCCAAGGACCCCCTAAGGGGACCCTGCAACCCTTTCAAGGGGTTCTTGAGGACATTCCTTTTTCTAGCTACATATCTATGTGAAACTATATTCTCTTAACACACTTCAACCAAAACAACATATTACAAAAGACTGAATGCAGAAGATATGAGAATCCAGCTGTTTCTATTAAGCCAGACAATAAAAAGTTTTGCAACAATGTAAAACAATGCCACTCAAAGTTTTCTTGTCTTGGAAAGTACAGTTATTTCAAAACATGTTATTTATATTAACATAAAAAGAGTTATTAGTGTTATTTTTAATGAGTTACTAAGTAAATATTTTAAAATTTTTCTGAATTTTAATTTCTAATACAGTATATATCAATAAATGTAACCTACATACACAAAAGCTCTCTGTGGTCCTCAATAATTTCTATGTGTGTAAAAGGGTCCTGAAACCAAGAAATTTGAGGATGCCTGCTTACATCTTAGAAAAGAAGACTAACCTCTGAGTCTTTCCTCAACTATGGCTTCTATTCTCCCCACTGAAACTACTCACATAGGCCACCACCAAAAGCCTTCCTGTTACTTAATGCACTCCATACTATCTTACACTACCTTACATCATATTTGATGCTGACTACATTACACTTTGAACTTTTTTCCCTCAGTTCTCATGCTAACACAAAGTTTTTTTTTTCTTAGTCTCCTTTATGTGATTCTCTTCTCCTACTCCATCTTTAAAGCCAGCACCCCCAGGGTTCTATCCTCAACAATATTTCCTTCTCATTCATTCTTATGCTTTCAATTATCATTTATATGATAATAATTCTCAAATCCATGGTAGAAACTGCTAACAATCTAAAAAAGGATTGTGTTCTCCCTTGCATAACATCAAGTAGTCTGTGGGAAGCAGCTGGCCAGCTACGGACCATATTTCTCAAACCTCCTTATATACAGGTGAAGCTGTATGATTAGTTACCACCAATGGAATGTGAGCAAAAGTGATGTATATCACTTTCAGGTTGAGGTAGTTTTGAAGGGAATGTGCCTTCTCCATACTCAGTCTTTCCACTGGCTTTGTGTAGGTGAGCACAACCTTGGAGCCCATATTGTAAAGAAGGTAGAACTCCAAGAAGGAAGGAGACTGGACCTCTAAAACACTGCTTTGAGGAAAATTGTGAGAAAAAACCTCTATTGTTTTAAAACTATTATACATTCATGATCTTACAGCAGCTACCACCAAAATACATCTCTCTCTAACTAACTACAATGGATATCTTCACTTGGATATCCTACCAATACTTCCAATTCGACAGTCCTAAACCTAAAATCATCAACTCCCAATTTCTCATGTTCCTCCCAGTGAATGGAACCAATATCCATGCAATTACACAACCCGATAGCTCAGTGCCATCCCTGACTCCCCCTTTCCCCTCACCTCTTCTACCTAATTACCAAGTCCTGTCTACTCTATTTCTCCCAACAAAGTTCTCAACAACTCTTTATCCTTATGGACACAATTTTACTCTACGTCCCCATTATCTGTCACTTGGACTATCATAAGCAGTCTTCTAACATGGGTGTTTTCTCAATCCCACTGGCTCATCTGAATCTATTCCTACAGCAATTAGAATATTCTTTTGCAGATACAAATCTGATCTGATCATGTTTCTATATTGTGAAAACTCTTCTGTTGTTGCCTTGAGAATGCACCACAAAACTCTCCAGCTATAAGAACTGCAAATGGCCAAGCACCCCAGCTGCTGTGTTCTTAACTTCACTGCCATGCTCGTGCAGGGCCACATATCCCACAGGCTGCGCCTAGCCAATGACTAAACACAGTAGCTATAGTAAGGCAGGCCCATTTTGGCAAGACATGGGTCACTTCTGACAACCAACTCTGACTCAAAGACTCGTCCACAGCCTTATCAAACCTTCCTTGGACTATATGGCAGGCTGGAACATGTCCACTCAAGCTTTTATTCCTTTCACTCAAGGCAAACTTGCACCACAATCTGAGGGCTCTCTGAACCCTTCCCAGCTCCCTCTTCATTTCTTCTCACCTAGTAATAATAATATCCTTGCATGTTTAAACCTGTCTTGGCACCTGTTAAAAACCAGGAGGAAGACCCAAACTAACACACCCTCACTGGTACCCAACTGCTTACCCAAAGCATAAGTCCAAATTCCTCAGTGTAACCCACAATGCCCTTCATGATCTGGCTCTTGCTCACTTCTTTATTTCCTTTTACTTCCTTTACTTATATCCACACTGTGCTCCACCCACACTGATTTGTTCACATTCTTTCCACACTCAACGATCTCTTGCACTAGGTCTGTGCAGATGCTACTGTTTTTTCCTAGAACATTTCTCTTCCCAACTGTCAGGCTAATTCTTCAAGTTTAGGCTCACTTCTTTAAGAAAGCCTTTTGTGATACTCCAAGACTGAACCGGGTGTTCCTCCTCATTTCTATCACAACATGCTCTTAGTCTTGTCCAAAAATTAACTACAGTATACTGCAATTGTATACTGTACTGTATTGCTTGTCTGACTTCCACTAACTAAAAATCTGTTGAGGCAGGAACTGTGTCTGGTTCACCACTATATTCTCAGGGCCTAGCAGAGTGCTTGGCATATAATAAGGGCTTGATAAGTACTTGTTGATTAATTGGAAATTTAAAGAAAATAAGAAATGGTGCTCAAATATCCTTGATTCACAACTAAGAATGTACAAGAAAAAGCCGTTCATAACAAAGTCTGTGCTTTGTTAAGTGCATTAATTTCCTATTCCATGTTAAAACAGAGAAGTTGAGTATATGTAGCAACTATAGCGTACTTTACCTTTATACATAATGGATTTGTATTATTAAAATAGCTTTTAATAAGCCCCTTTAGCTTTGAAAAGTATCAAATTATAAAGAAAAAAAGACATTTCTCTGTCACATTTTTACTTTATTAAAATGAACTAATCAAGTTAAGAAAAAGTAGAACTTCTATTTTTCTATAAAAGGCACACTTTCTAAAACATGTGTCTGACACTGCAACTAGCCCATAGTAGGTACTTAATTAATAGTTGCTATTTGAATGAACATGAATTATAAAAAATAATAGGATGCTATACTGTTAAAGGTGGGAGAAAAAACTGTTTTCTACTAATATGTATAACTGATATTTAGTAAAATTAATTACAAATAAAATTTTCCACTAGGGCTTCCCTGGTGGCTCAGTGGTTGAGAGTCCGCCTGCCGATGCAGGGCTTGCGGGTTTGTGCCCGGTCCAGGAAGATCCCACATGCCGCGGAGCGGCTGGGCCCGAGAGCCATGGCCGCTGAGCCTGCACATCAGAGCCTGTGCTCCGCAAAGGGACAGGCCACAACAGTGAGAGGCCCACATACCACAAAAAAAAAAAAAAAAATCCACTGAACAGGGAATGAGTGAAACATTCATCCTATTCTTTTTTTTTTTTAACATCTTTATTGGAATATAACTGCTTTACAATGGTGTGTTTGTTTCTGCTTTATAACAAAGTGAATCAGCTATACACATATACATATATCGCCTCCCTCTTGCGTCTCCCTCCCACCCTCCCTATCCCACCCCTCTAGGTGGTCACAAAGCACCGAGCTGATCTCCCTGTGCTATGCGGCTGCTTCCCACTAGCTATCTATTTTACATTTGGTGGTGTATATATGTCCATGCCACTCTTTCACTTCATCCGTTTACCCATCCCCCTCCCCACGTCCTCAGGTCCATTCTCTATGTCTGCATCTTTATTCCTGTCCTGCCCCTAGATTCTTCAGAACCAATTTCTTTTTTTTTTTTAAGATTCCATATATATGTGTTAGCATACATTCATCCTATTCTAACTGCTGTCCACTCTCTAATACACTACAGTTCGTTATGCACTGGAAATATGGTCAGCAGTAATTTATTTGATCTTTCTAAGATAAAACAAAGGACCAGAAATTTTAGAAACAGTTTGCCACTTTAAAATGTTGAACTTAAATAACAAACAATAAACTAACCAAACTACTAAATAAGCTGCTATTTTAATAAATCTCTTAAGAAACATCAAATTTGAATATCTGCTCATCTGAATTACAGGTCAAAAAAACAAGCACCATTTTAAAATTACTCTATGGTCAGGGAAAAGAAAAGGGAGAAAGTATAATACCTGTCTCCCTCAGCTGAAATATTCAAGAGAGCTAGTAAGGGCTTTTTACATCAACAAAAGTACTTTTCAAAGATGCATCGAAACTAAAACCAAAAAACAAATTAGGTATTTCTTCAGCAGTTCTCTTTTTTCAGGTACAAAATAAACATTATGTTCAAATATATGAAAACTAAATTTTTCAAATAATATAAATATTACACATTCTTGCAATTTAAATCCCTTTTCCACTTCTACTATTTGAAATTCTTTGGTCTTCTAACATTATTAAGAACGTTATTATCTACACTATTAAGAACATTTTTAAAATGTATAAAAACCGTTTTACCTATATTTCCAAGTAATCCATTAATAACTGTGTTATTATCAGCCTTTAATGTACTGTTGTCCTGATTGATGAATTCAAGACTGTCTTGCAGCCTAAGTGGGAGGAGAAAAAAATAAATTCCAAATTCGTTTTATGCTCTTAATGGCAATTCTTTGTATACCTCAAATTTTAAGTGTAAAACATTTTTTTTTAAGTTTTAAGTTTCCCTATTAGTACTATAAACCAACTAATCATTTAAATCAGGGGTTAGCAAACTACACACTGAGGGTTAAATTAAGTCTGCTGCCTGTTTCTGTGAATAAAGTTTTACTGGAATACAGCCACACCCAAGTGTCTGTCAACAGATGAATGGATAAAAAAAGACTGTCATGTATATATATAGACAGGGGATATTATTCAGACATGAAAAGAAAAAAAGAGGAAGTCCTGCCATTTGCAACAACTTTGGTCCTTCAGGGCATTATGCTAAGTGAAATAAGTCAGACGGAGAAAGGCAAATGCTGTATGATATCACTTATATGTGGAATCTAACAAAGTCAATTCCCTGACGGTCCAGTGGTTAGGACTCTGTGCTTCCACTACAGGGGGCACGGGTTCAATTCCTGATTGGCAAACTAAGATCCTGCAAGCCGCGAGGCACGGCCAAAAAATAAATAAATAAATAACTTTTTAAAATTTGTTTAATTAAAAAGAAATTAAAAAGCCGAACTCGTGGTGGCGCAGTGGTTGAGAGTCCGCCTGCCGATGCAGGGGCACACGGGTTCGTGCCCCAGTCCGGGAAGATCCCACATGCCACGGAGCTGCTGGGCCCGTGAGCCATGGCCGCTGAGCCTGCACGTCCGGAGACTGTGCTCCACAACGGGAGAGGCCACAACAGTGAGAGGCCCGCGTACCGCAAAAAAAAAAAAAAAAAGCCAAACTCAGAGATGCAGAGAGCAGAGCTTACCAGGGACTGGGAATAGGGGAAATGGAGATAAAATGGTCAAAGGGTACAAACTTCTAGTTATAAGATTAACAAGTTCTGGGTGTCCAATATACAGCAAGCTAATTATAGCTAATAATACTGCGTTATATCTTGAAAGTTGCTAACAGAGTAAATCTTAAATATTCTCACCACAAAAAAGAAATGGTAATTATGTGACAGGATGGTAGCAGTTAAGGCTATGGTGGTAATCACTTTGCAATATATAAATGTATCAAATCAACACGCCATATACTTCAAAATTACATAATGGTGTATGTCAATCATATCTCAACAAAGCTGGGGGAAAAAATCTGGCCTCCATAAACTTTCAAACTGAAGGGATGGAATAAAATCTGAATTTATGCTGCAATCCTGAAAGCAGCTTATTAGTTTTCATACTTTGCAGATCTTAAAGAATTCATTTCTCCCTTGATCCATAACTACTTACGTATTGAGACTTCCACAGATGCTGCTGCCAGTCCGTGCAGTAAAAACTTTGCTGAGCATAAGCTGTGGAGGGGAACTATGAAGAAAAAGAGAAGGATAGAGAGAGATCAAAACTGAAACACAAGGACCTTTCCAATTTATTACAAATAAAAATGTTTAAGTCACAGAGATGTCACAGCATAGTTACAACAGCCATGAAGTAGCATTAAACCCATAAAACTTCATAAACTTAGTAGCTGACATGCTCAATCTGAGTGAAGACTATATGAAATTCTCCCATCTTTAAAAAACTAAACATTCTAAAATGGATTCATTAAGAAAAATCAGAAAATCCCTCACCGGATCTGATGAATCTTTAAGGTGGAGCCTTTGTAGCTCATTGCTACTGAGCCAAACATCATCTCTCCAAGCATATTGGCATCAGAAGAGCATCGAGAACCCTAAACAATAAGCATAACATTAATAAAATTGCAGAATTTAAAACCTATTTCAAAAACTGATTTTTATTAATAATTCCTTTGCTGTATTCTACGTAATGTTTTTTAAATGATTTTACGTTGTATACACTGTTCTGCAGCTTGATTTTCTTCATTTCACAATGTCTTATAGATCTAAGCATATTGTTATACATTGATTCCTTTTAAGAGCTGCATAGTATTCTCCTATATGAAAATACCATTTTATCAAGCCTGTTCCCCTTACTGATAGGCATTTAAGTTACTTCCTGTTTTTTGCTATTACAAATAACGCTCAAAAAACATTCTTAGCCACATCTTATGCATATGCAATGCTTCTCCAGGACAGATAACAAGAAGTAGAATTCACTGAACATGCTGAACAGATTTTACCACTCCTACTGTGCAAACAGAAGCATTCGCAAAAGGGGTAACTTGGACATATTTTGCATTTTTTTAAAAAAGACTTATCTTAAGCATTAGAATGTCTTGTTTGCAAAGAATTCTTTTCCATAATTCTTTAATTGTCCTCATAGGAGTCAAAAAAATCTAAAAACTGACTCATCCATTTGGTTACTATTTATATACTGTGGCAAATACAACTAGTTAACCACCAAATATCTTATTCCTTATTTTCTGAAGTACAATTTGTTTCAAGAAAGCAATGTGCCCAAATGAAAAAAACTACATTTCAGAGCCTCCCTTACAGATAGGGGATTTCGAGTTGGTCTCTATATTCAAAGAGTTAAACCAGTGGTTGGAGTGGTAGCTTTCAGAACTATCCATTTACATGCATTCAACACAGTCCTGGTCAATGGAATATAAATGGAAATCACTGAAGATGAAGACACCGTAAGAGGACGAGAAGGCAACAAGTATGTACACAGTAACTCTGGCTAAGTAGAAAGATAAGGAAACCTTGGTCTCTGAGGCCATCTTGGAAGCCCATAAACTATCGTCCCTAGATGGCCTCTCTCCAGACTTGTCATGTGAAGAAACCAATCCCTAATTTGTTTAAGCCACTGTTTCATAGGATATCCCAATGCAATTCCTAACCAATACAATTAACATAATAAAACTGATGAGAAAGATGACCAAAAAACTATCTAAGATAGTAAATGAGGATTATGCACAAATTTCACTATGCCATTCTACCATGGGAAATCAAGAATTAGGAGTTTTTAAAAATACTTAAAAGAGTCTTCTGAAGATAACAATAAAGTGATGAGGACCCCCATTTTACAAGTGAAAGCCAGGGAATACATCTACATACTATTTTTCTTTTTATAATGTGATTCTCTTTTACTCTTTTGCTTGTTTACTATCTGCCTTGGGTTAAAAAAAATCTATATATTTACATTTTGTCACCTTTCTTAAAAACAACATCTTCAAATAGCAATCCATTTCATTATACATACTATGTTCATATTCATTTTTTAATACATTCATTGACATATTGTTTTTTCTTTCTCAGTGCTAAGGCACAAAGTTATTTTTTAAGAAAAAAATCACTTCTGATATACCTAGGTTACTACAAGAAGCAACTCATTTATTCTTGGGATTTGGTTAAGACAAATTTTTTATTTCCAGAAGTCTAGGTATTACAAACATTTTAGAAACAGAGTAGAATAATTTTTTTAGATAATAAAGTAGTTTATTTTTCTTTTAAGATCAACAATACCAATCTTACTTGACAATCTAAATTGCTTCTGGATAATGAGAGAAATGAGAACCTTCTCTTACAAGCTCATTTTTGTTACAATGCATCTAACTCCATTCTTATTTTGACTAAAAATAATATTTCTTATACTAAACAAGCTACACAAATTTAAATATCAAGTCATTTAAACTTTAATATTATAATTAGAAAAGAATTCTCAGAAGGCAAAATACAGTAAAAATAAATTGGTGTATAAATTTTATGAAACCACATACTTTGCTATTAAAGCTTCTCTCTGCCTGCTCTAATACATACCAAATAGTTATGAATGTCACTGACATGTTATATATTTTAATGTGACATAATCTATAATGAAGAATATAATTAAGAAAATGCTATTATCTTTAATGCTTTTTTTAAAAGGCTCTTATTTAAAAGTTCAATTCTTTGTAAGTACTCATTGCTGAATACAATAATCTGTAATACCCCGTAAATCAAAAATAATGTTGTAGTTACCTGAAATAACACTTTATCAAGTGTAGTGAACTATATGCTATAATAATTCAATGCCTTCTTGCTAAAAAAGTAGATTTCCAAGACCATAATGAACCTACTACTAGAATATCTAGACATATAACCTGGGAACCTGTACTTAAAAAAAACTCTAGGGATTTTTGATGCAAAATGAGAATTATAATCACTCACTGCTTCAGGGTTTCTACAGTCTGGATCCATTTGCTAACACTATTTAACTGTATAACATTAGGAAGAAAGGCAAGTTTGTACAGTTGATCAAATTAGAAAACTTGTAAACTGGCATTAGTATAATGATCCTACATAGCACAGCACTATTAGGAACCTGTTAGGGTAACATGCTCAAGATGGAAGAGGAATAGAGGAGGGCAGGCAGAACTATGTAGATATTAAGGGTCCTAACATCTGGACTTTTATAACTTCGAAGCTGTTCCACATATACTGTCATGTTGATATGGTATAAGGGTTAATTTCTATCCAAGAACAATTACCTAAGCATAAATAATTTAAAGGTCCAGGATTCTATTTTGGTACTGCTAAATGTAAAATACCTGTGATTCATTCATGCAAGCTTGAATGACACAAATTCACATTAGATGACATTTGCTTATTTGAAACCAAGTACTGATCCTATGTAAAATATAACAACATAAGTTTATAGAGAAGTTCCTATATAGTCAAATGATTGGTTAATTCCATATTTTAAAAGAACAGCCACATTAATTTTGAAAAATGAAAATGTACATTTCTGATAACATATACTTCAGCCATATTTTAATTTCATACTACAGCTGACTTGTATTATATTTATCTTCATATTTCAATAATTAAAAAGTATATAAAATAAGAAATTATTCTGGTAGCCTAAAAAATATGAAATGGGAAATAAAAAGGAGAAAATGCCCCTGCTACCTGTGCCCAAAGCTCTCTATGCTTCCCCTATCCTAAGATTTATCAAAGTTCATAAACTTACCTACTTGATTATCTGTCTCCCCAGCTATACTGTAAGCTCCAGGAGGGTAAGCACTAGTCCCTGTTACATCCTCAGTCCCTAGGATGGTATACAACACGTTGTAGGTACTCAAAAATACTTGTGGGGCTTCCCTGGTGGCGCAGTGGTTGAGAGTCCGCCTGCCGATGCAGGGGACACAGGTTCCTGCCCCGGTCCGGGAAGATCCCACATGCCGTGGAGCGGCTGGGCCCGTGAGCCATGGCCGCTGAGCTTGCGCATCCGGAGCCTGTGCTCCGCAACGGGAGAGGCCACAACAGTGAGAGGCCCGCATACCGCAAAAAAAAAAAAAAAAATACTTGTGAATGAATAAAAGACATCAGTGATCTTACCTGGTACTTAGGACACTGGTCTTTTACATCAGAAGATGAAGTCATGGAACTATCTAAAGAGGAAGAACTGTCTCCTCCAGGTTTCAGTTGGCAGCATTTCCCAAAGACTTTAACTTGAGCATCACTACAGAGCTTCTGAAAGGGAGACATTATTCCCATTCATATTTTAACAGATTTTCCACCATATATAAATTATAGCATAAAAACCTTTGGAAAAACCAAGGATGAAATAATTCAAAATAATATAACCTTAATATAATGACTATTTGCATTTTACTGTATTTTCTCCAGTACTGCTTTCTATTCTTTGTCTCATAGCTATAATATTTGTGGCATTTTTTAACTGTACTTTTCTCACCAAAATTATTAAATCATGGGAATTTTTCTATATTACAATGGTCTACACAATGTTCATTGTTGGGACTTAATTATATACTGCAGCAGTTTTCAAATTATTTGATCTCAAAAACCTATTCATGCTCTTAAAAATTATTTAGGATCCCAAAGGCATTTTGTTTATGTGTGATGTATGTATCAATATTTTCCCATATTAGACATTAAAACTGAGGAATTTTAAAATATTTATAAATTTATTTAAATATAACAATATACCCATTATAAGCTAATGTAAGTAACATATTTTAATGGAAAAAAACTGGGGAGATGTAGGAACAGGAAGAGAAATGCAAATGAGACATATTTCATTGTATGTTCACATATATGTAAGTTTAATCTTTTGAAATGAGAATGCATCCATGTATTGGACAGTTACATTTTTAATAATAGCTGAGCTTAGGACCAGAAGGCTGTATTGTCTAGCATGGAAGTATTTCAATTTTTTGCTTTAGAAATAGAGACACAGACATAGAGAACAAATGTATGTATGTATGGATACCAAGGGGGAAAGGGGTGGGGTGGGAGGAATTGGGAGATTGGAATTGACACACATACACTACTGCATTATTGATACTATGCATAAAATAGACAGCTGATTGGAACATACTGTATAGCACAGGGAAGTCTACTTAGTTCACTGTGGTATCCTAAATGGCAGGGAAAACCAAAAGGGAGGGGATATATGTATATGCATGGCTGATTCATTTTGCTGTGCAGTAGAAGCTAACACAACACTGTAAAGCAACTAGACACCAATAAAAATTAATTAATAAACAAATTTTTTTTTGCTTTATTCTTCTTGTTCTCCTCTCCCTCCTGAACAGGTTCTAGAGCTTTCACTGCTCACAACTACCAAAATTGCAATCCACCAAGTTCTCTGATACTCCTAAAAACATCTCAATGCTTTACCACAGTTAACAGTATGTTCGTTCTTCAAAACCCTGCTGGCCTGACTTATCTACTATTGCAAACCACCATTTATCAGTCAACAAAAGTAACTGAGTACTATGTGTACCAAGCACTAGCGAAAAGAAGTGAATAAAACAGTTCTTTTCCTCGTGGAACTAACACTCTAACAGGAGAAGGAGATATTTAACAAATAGACAAATTAGTATAATTAAATACACTATTTCAAATATGTCTAATAAAAGTAATAATGATAGCAACAGTTAACTCACATAACACCTAGTATCTGGTCAGGTACTCTTCTGTTTTACATATATTTACTCTTTTATTCCTCACAACAACTCTATGAAGTAAGTACTATTATTATCCCCATTTTGCAGATGAAGAGATTAAGGAGCAATGATGTTTATGTGAACTGTCCAAGAAAGACTTAACTTAGTCTAGGCATGTCAGAAATGATATTTAAACTGGAACTACAAAACAGCACAGGAGTTAAGGTGAAAGAAGAAGAATGGGAGGGCTAGAAAGACATTCCAGGCTGAGGTAACTATATATGTCCAATCTCTGAAACAAGAAGCAATTTGCTAGAGGGAAGAAAGGGACAAACATATATCAATTCCAGGACTGAAGCATAATTTCTGCTCCTAGAAGGCCAATGTCTACTGTGCCATGTCCCCTCACTAGACCATCTTCCAACAAAGTTGTTGCTGATGGGAAAGAGAAAAGACACTGTACAGAGAAAGGGGTAGGTGTGTGTGTGTGTGTGTGTGTGTGTGTGTCACAGCTTTTACATACACTTCTATGCACAATGTCTTATAGATCTAAAATCTCTACAACAGGACAATCAAACTAAGTCAGAATTGAAATACACTAACATGCCTTTCCCAATGTTCAATGTGCATCTGCATTATACATTAACCAGATCCCCTCAAGGTAGGAGGATGTAATCAACTTTGAGAAAAAGTCTCTTTCTTCTAATGCCAGCATTGTAATTTTTAAAATTAATATTCCTTCCCCATCCTGTACAGGGGATCACACTGACTAAAGGCTCATTCTGTATGTGCATACCTGACTATAAAAAATCTCTGATGAATTTTATTTATAATTTTAACTTGTCAATATGATACATGATTCTTTCTCTCAAAAACGTACGCCTCTCTAACTCCCGACCAGTGGAACAATTCTCAGAGCTTCTGAAAATCTGTCTCCCACGTTACAATCCTCAATTTGGCTCAAATAAAATTATCTTTATTTCTTCTTAGCTTAATTGTTAATTGAATTTTCATCGACACAAAGAAATCTAGATCCCACTCTTTACCCTTTTCCCCACTCCACACATTGCCAATAAGTAAAATCATTTTTATTGGTTTACTATTATCCTTCCAGTATCTCTTTTCAAATATAAGCATATTCCCTTTCCTTTTCTCTTACAGAAAGTGATTCAGTTCTGCCGTTGCTTTATTTTCCACTAATATCATAGAGAATCTTTTCATCTATGTTTAGAAATCTTCCTCATTGTTTTTTTTAAAAAAATACAGCTACACAGTATTCCAGTGCGTGAATATACTATAGCTTATTTAACCAGTCATCTGTTAATAACCCTGCCAGTGGAACGGCTGGGTCAAAACATAAATACATATAATTTTGGTAGATACTCCAAGGATGTCATTTCACTCACTCACTTTAACAGCAAAGTACTGTCATGCAACATTTGGGTTTTTGCCAATCTAAAAGGAAAGAACTAAAATCACAACATAGTTTTAATTTTAATTTCCTTATTATGAATGAGAAGAAGAATCTTATTAAATGTGTAATGGCCATCTGTATGTGAACTCCCTGGTCTTATCTTTCACCTAATTTTCTATTGAATGTTTCTCCTGTCTTGATTTCTAGGAATTTTTTATATAGAAAGATTACCAGCTGGTTTTATATCCTATAAAAATGTTTTCCCATACCGTTTATCTTCTGATTTTCCTCATGGTAGTTTCTTCCCTTTTTGTTTGTTTGCTTTTGCTTTGTTTTGCTCACCATCCAAGTTATTTCCGTTTCTTTTTTTATTTGGTTGTCTAATGTGTAAGTCTTTTAACTTTATGGCTTCTGCATTTTCAGCAATAGCTAAAAGGTGTTTTCCACTCCACAGATACATAGGAACTCATGTTATCTTTTTGTAATGTCACAGTTTTATTTTTTTTACATTTAAATGTTTGATATACTTGAGATATGAATCTAAGTTTATCTTTCTTATAATTGGCTAATTATCTAATACCATTTATTAATCTTTACCCTACTGATTTAAGATGATGCCTTTATCATATATTAAATTTCTGCATGTATTTAGATCTACTTCTGATCCTCTATTTCATTCCATTAGTCTATTGATCTATTTATGTTCCAATAATATATTCTTTTAATTACTGAGACTTTACAGTATATTTTTCAAATCTGGTAGAACTTACTCAACCTCACTATTTCTTTTTCAGTTTTCCAGCCTATTATCGCTAATTTCTTTCCATTTGAACTTTAGAATCTGCTATCTAATTCCAGATACCACCACCCACCAAAAATAATAATAATAACAACAACAATAAGGTTGCCATTTTTATGGAGATAGCATTATTTTACAAAGCAACTTAGAGAGAATGGACAACTTTATGACATTGAGTATTACCCAAAAATATATTTTGCCTTTTCATTTGCTCAAGTAAGCTTTTATGTACCTCAGATTTTTAAGGTTCTAAACATATAGATTTTGTTAAGTTTATGAAAAGGCATTTTTTAATTGCTATTTTATTTTTTTAAGGTGCTAAAAAATAATTTTATTGAGTTCCCAAATGCTTAAAGCACTTGTCCTTTTTTACTTAGAAGCCCCCATGCTCACTCCTTTTTTTTTTTAAACATCTTTATTGGAGTATAATTGCTTTACAATGGTGTCTTAGTTTCTGCTTTATAACATAGTGAATCAGCTATACATATACATATATCCCCATATCTCCTCCCTCTTGCGTCTCCCTCCCACCCTCCCTATCCCACAAAATTGCAATTTTAAATGGAGACTTAGCTTCCTTCATACTTCCAATTGGAAGTTATATACTGAGTTTACTGATTTCTGTATATTAACTTCTATATAGATTCAATTACCTAACCAAATCCTATGTTCCAAATCTGATACCACAATTACGATTCAACTACTGGCACTTGTACAATGCTTCTGAGTGTACAAAACTCTAACACATTAAAATTTATATTCACCTTTCCAAAGTTATTTGAATCTGCTGATGTACAACTTTATTCTTGTATATAACCAATGAAGGCTGAAACATGTGACTGACGATGTAACTTCACTGGGAACACATGCACTGGATTATTGTTAACACAGAAATAATGTCCAAGATAAAGACAGTATCATATGATCAAATCACACTTGATCCATTTGGCTATATCAGTGTTCAAAGAAACCACATCTCAATAATTTTTACATTTCAACTAGATGCTGAATAAGGTCTGAGGATCAAAAGTAAAAAAATAAAAATAAACTTTTACAAAAGAGAGAAGTTTCTTGGGCTTCCCTGGTGGCGCAGTGGTTGAGAGTCCGCCTGCCGATGCAGGGGACACAGGTTCCTGCCCCGGTCCGAGAAGATCCCACATGCCGTGGAGCGGCTGGGCCCATGAGCCATGGCCGCTGAGCCTGCGCGTCCGGAGCCTGTGCTCCGCAACGGGAGAGGCCACAGCAGTGAGAGGCCCACCCAAAAAAAAAAAAAAAAAAAGAGAGAGAGAAGTTTCTTGATTACAATCACTGAATGTTCAAGAGTCATTTTTCACAGAATATAATAGAG